AGGTGGGTGGTATGAAGGTAGGTATTAAGGTAGGTAGGTAGGTGGGTGGGTGGTAGGTAGGTATGTAGGTAGGTAGGTAGGTAGGTAGGTAGGTAGGTAGGTAGGTAGGTAGGTAGGTAGGTAGGTAGGTAGGTAGGTGGGTGGTAGGTAAGTATGAAGGTAGGTAGATAGGTAGGTAGGTAGGTAGGTAGGTAGGTAGGTAGGTAGGTAGGTAGGTAGGTAGGTAGGTAGGTAGGTGGTAGGTAGGTAGGTAGGTGGGTGGTAGGTATGTATGAAGGTAGGTATGAAGGTAGGTAGGTAGGTAGGTAGGTAGGTAGGTAGGTAGGTGGGTGGGTAGGTGGTAGGTAGGTGGGTGGTAGGTAGGTAGGTAGGTGGGTGGTAGGTAGGTAGGTAGGTGAGTGGGTGGGTGGTAGGTAGGTAGGTGGGTAGGTGGTAGGTAGGTGGGTGGGTAGGTGGGTGGTAGGTGGGTGGGTAGGTGGGTGGTAGGTAGGTAGGTGGGTGGGTTGGTAGGTGGGTGGTAGGTAGGTAGGTAGGTAGGTAGGTGGAGGTAGGTAGGTGGGTGGTAGGTAGGTATGAAGGTAGGTATGAAGGTAGGTAGGTAGGTAGGTAGGTAGGTAGGTATACTGTAAACTCAATCATTCAGTCAACCAGCATGTCCCTTACAGAACGTCGTTCTCTTCACGGCACACCTGAAAGACTCTTCCTGTAACCATTTTTCCAGCCCTGTGTGCTTTCATAGCCAATGTTGCTTCAATTTTCTGTACCCACCTTCGCAGTGGTCGTCCTATGCCTCGTGTTGAAGAAGCTGTACCCTCCACCCCTGTTTTCTCCAGACCTCTACAGCGCTTGATATGTCCAAAATACCCCAGCTTTCGGGAATGTTGAATTAAGAATCGACATCACAGCACTCGGGACACTTCCATAAGTGCTCAGTTCCCATTTTCAGCGGCAAGCGAAAAGTTCAAATTCTGATGGTACCGATGTCTGATTGTATATCCGTCTCGCCGTTCCCCTGAGTGTTAAGCGTCGGGCAGATCCCCTTGTAACTCCTCGCAGCGCCATTCTCCTCAGACCGTAATGATCTGTCTACGCCTCCGCACTGTTCACTCGCTCCCAGAGAGCCCTCACAATATCTAATTTGTGAAACATTAATTCACCACCCAGTGGTGCAGATTCAGCCAATCTGTCTGCCTGTTCATTACCCACGAGAAAGATCCAAAGTATGCTCACTACCCGTGACCTTCCCAGTGAAGTTTCCCATTCTGCAGTCTTCACCTTTCTCAGCATGCTTTCAGAGTCTGTTACAATTACGACATGTGTATACATCTTGTTCTCTAGCCACCGGAGAGCTGCAGTTACCGCCTCCACCTCCATTCTCATGCTAAATGTTCTGGTGTCATATGTTAGGCTCTCTTGCACTGACGATTTTCCATTGGCTTTCGGTACGAACCCCCAGGCACTTATCTTTCATCTTAACACCGAACCATCTGTATAGACAATATGTTGAATACTATATCAACAAAAGTTCAAAACGAAAAAGTCTGCACAAGGTTGGGGGTGGGTAGCTCTTCCCTCAAATAAATTATGGGTGTGGATGGTGCTGAGCTGCCCCTTTCCCCCGTTGTGAGGGTGCCCCAACGTGGCTTTACCCCCGAGGTAGCTAGCGCCCCTGCCTGCTCAGTCAGCTCACACCAGGTTCAGACACCGCTCTGCCGTTGCTACAGCTGATCCTAGCGTCTTCCCTATCATCAAATGGCCCCTGTCTAATGACAGATGGGCCACAACGAAGCGTCGCAACCCCGTGTTGTGAAACCTGCCAAGCCGTGTCATGTACGGGAGCTATCTTCTCCTGTACAGGCATGTTTTTGAAGTGGTGCCGCCGTGTCGTTTTCCCAGGTAAAATATCTAGGTCATGACTTGTCATTTCGATACACTTCCAGGTCACGTGTCTCCTCGTTTTGAAGTGGCTTGGTGGCAAAAATCAACCCATAGACGTGTGGTTTAGGCGTTGGGAACCCGCTTGGTAATCCTGACAAGCCTGGCTTAATTCCAGATGGCAGCAGACCGCTTTGCGTATATTTCTACGATGGACTACAGACAACCGATTTGTGTATCAAGAGCCGATGTAATCCTCCCACTTATGTTGTTGTTTGCCTCTTGCTCGTCTGCATTCATCTTGTTCCCTCCAGTAAGTTGTTACCCCTGTGGCTAAGGTGTTGGGAACTCTCGTCGTAACTTCATGGTACTCTGGTCTGTCCCAGCTGCTGGTGATTTGGAAACAGACCGCCTTGCGTTGATTTCAACAGTAGAATCGAGAGATGACCGTTTAGAAAGCAACTGCAATCTACTGAAAGTATATTGCCCAGTGACATCATAAATGAATGCTGTTGTTGATTCTGCATTCCGCATGCTAATTTTCGTGTATGCGTTTGTTAGGTCTTTCATGTTGTTGCCAGTTTTTACCTAACTCTTTTTATCTTATGTTTCGGATCTTCTTTTCTTTCGTTGTCTCTGCAGTAATTTTGTTTCCGTGAAATAGCGCCCCTAAAATAGATATCATGAGGTTTGAAGTTTGAATAACAGATTCAACATCATGCATACCATAAGTGCTCCGTTCTTCTAACTCAAGTCTGAGTCCGAAGAAGCTCTGCACAGTGCACAGACTCTGTAGCACCAGCGAGGATCCTGAAACACTTTTGGGTAGATTTTTAACTCAAAACTTTGCCTGGGCAGCGCAGTTAGGCTACTTTTTTCGATTTCCAACTGCTAAGGGATGTTTTACGTGCGCAACTATGCACACGGGCGTCCGATCTCACTACCCAGAGACTAGGGGAAATTACTAGAAGTCCAAGTCCACGTGAAAAAATCCCACCCCTTACCGGGAATTGAACCCGGAACCTCTAGCACTCGAGGCAACATCGAGACCACGCAGCCCCCTCAGATATCCTGAAAAGATATCAAACCGAACGACAAGTCAAATCAGTCAGCTTTACAATATCACAATCACCAACGACGAGTGAGCGTTTCGGCTAGAGACCTTTCATCGGCACACATGAATATAGAGTATCGCAAATAGGAACAGGAATTCACAAAATCACTTATTTCATCCCATCTCGTCTAATCTCATCCCGTCTCATCTCATCTTGTCTAATTTCATTTCATCTTAAACCTCTTGTACCTTGAGGTGAAGTATAATTTATGGGGAAAAACCCGTTTTTGCGCTTCTTGAATGGGGACTCGCAGGGAATCTGTTATTCCTTCTGTCCTTGATTTGCACGGTCGCCCTCTTCTTCGTTACCCGTCTGGTCTGTACACCATTGCCTGCTGCAGTATACTGTTAGCTCACATCCGCGATACATGACCAAACCATTTCACCTGTTGTCTTATAATGAAATCCAGAGCTGCCGCTAACGCTATTCTCGTTGGGATTTCATTATCTCTGGTTTTATCTCTTGTTATGTTAAGCGCCTTTGGTAGAAATCTCATTTCAGTTGTTGTAATTTTTATTTTCTCTGTTTCTGTAATTGCACAGGTCAGGCTCAATCGCAAAATAATTTAACTGACGGATCTCTGAGACAGTGCTGGATTTGGATATAAGCTGAAATAAAATATGGGTTCCCAATCTGCAGGCTTCCCCCCCCCCCCCCCCCACAACACCCTTTCCACACAAAAAGAAGGAGAAGAAGAAGAAGAAGAAGAAGAAAGAAGAAGAAGAAGAAGAAGAAGAAGAAGAAGAAGAAGAAGAAGAAGAAGAAGCAGAGGAAGAAGAAGGAGAAGAAGAAGAGGGAGAAGAAGAAGAAGCAGAGGAAGAGGAAGAAGAAGGAGAAGAAGAGGAAGAAGGAGAAGAAGAAGAAGAAGATGAAGAAGAAGAAGAAGAAGAAGAAGAAGAAGAAGAAGAAGAAGAAGAAGAAGAAGAAGAAGAAGAAGAAGAAGAGGAAGAAGAAGAAGAAGCAGAGGAAGAAGAAGGAGAAGAAGAGGAAGAGGAGGAAGAAGAAGAAGAAGAGGAAGAGGAAGAAGAAGGAGAAGAAGAAGAAAAAGAAGAGGAAGAAGAAGAAGGAGGAGAAGAAGAAGAAGAAGAAAAAGAAGCAGAAGAAGAAGAAGAAGAAGAAGAAGAAGAAGAAAAAAAAAAGAAGAAGAAGAAGAAGAAGAAGAAGAAGAAGAAGAGGAAGAAGAAGAAGAAGAAGAAGAAGAAGAAGAAGAAGAAGAAGAAGAAGAAGAAGAAGAAGAAGAAGAAGAAGAAGAAGAAGAAGAAGAAGAAGAAGACAACACCACCTTCATTAAAATATCACATAACAGGAAGGAATGAACCGTCATGATCGCCGATACCATGTACATACACATCAAGTCCCTAAACAGGAAGTCAAGAATTTCAACTTAAAAGAAAAAACATCTGACAAGTGGTTTCACAGGTACGCTACATGCCAAACGGGCGTCATCTTTATCTACCTGACATACAACGATCTAAAAAAATCCGATGCGGTACAGCTACCATTGTTATGTCACTGGAGCGTGGCTCGACCCTGTGCCCCGCTTCAGATCCCTCTCTGTAGAGGAATTACTAAAGCCTAGCAATAAACTTCTCTTCTAAAGCACCGACGCCATTTGACAGGGCACACACCTGTCGTAGGGAATGCCCGGCCCCGGCTGATGATAATAAACCCGGGCTGCTGATTGGCTGAGCGGCCCAGGTAAGTGAGCTTTGATGCGGTGTCAAGGTAGCTTCAGTTCCCTGTGACACTTGGCGTGGAGAAAACCCCCAAATGGATATAAAACCGTGTTCGGGAATGTCGGACTTCATCTACAAATTCCCTTACTTGATTTGGGAACAGTTTTACCAGATTTCTGCCAGTTACAAATATAAGTTGAACTGGTTAATACTTATTTGGAGCGATAGTTTCTCTGTTGGATAAGAAACAGAAAGTCAACAAGGGAGTGTGCCTGTTCCAAATATCTGCTTGTGTTTGCACTTTGAGCCACCAGCTTTTCTGTTTTAAACTGCAATGGATAACTTCACAAATATTTGTGAAGCCACAAGTCAATCACATGATCTGGATAACTACAAGCCAACACACAGAAAAGTAAGTAGTTGTTTCAATTATTTTCCTATTCTTTTGGCTTTGTTGACAAATCCTTTATTTTTAATATTATACTGTATAGAAAAAGTAATCATATGTTTACTAAGGAGGATGCTGTATAGAAACAGTAATCATATGTTTACTAAGGAGAGCACTGTATAGAAATAGTAATCATATGTTTACTAATAGGGTACTGTATAGATATAGTCATCATATGTTTACTAAGGAGAGCATTGCATAGAAACAGTCATCATATGTTTACTAAGGAGAGCACTGTATAGAAATAGTAATCATATGTTTACTAATAGGGTACTGTATAGATATAGTCATCATATGATTACTAAGGAGAGCACTGCATAGAAACAGTCATCATATGTTTACTAAGGAGAGCACTGTATAGAAACAGTAATCATGTGTTTACTAAGGAGAGCACTGTATAGAAATAGTAATCATATGTTTACTAAGGAGAGCACTGTATAGAAATAGTAATCATATGTTTACTAAGGAGAGCACTGTATAGAAATAGTCATCATATATTTACTAAGGAGGGTATAGTTTCCAGGAAACGAAGTGAAGGTAGACTTCAGCGCACATAGATATAGGACATTAAAGATGCTTTGGCTATACAAACACACAGGGCTGGAGAACTGAGGTAGATAAGATTAGGTTAGGTTAGAGAGGTAAGATGCCCCTTTGGACATGCATAGAACTTTTTTTGACGAATTTTTTCAAAACATTTTATTGTTTCAAGTAAGTTATAAATTAAGTACCGAAAATTATTAATATTTTAATATGCTGAATGGCAAAGAAATACTGTATATTAATATACTTGAAACAAATGAAATGTTGAATATTTAAAAATAAAAAATATATACGTAATTAAATAGTTTCAACAACGAATCAACATCACGACACATGGGTAGTAACCATAAGTGCTCCGTTCTACTTCTAACTCAAGTCAAGAGTCCGAAGAAGCTCAGCCCAGTGCATGAACTCCGTAGCACCGGCGAGTATCCTGAAACCGTTTGGGTAGATTTTTAACTCCACATTTTGCACAGGCAGCACGGTGAGGTTTCTCCTTTCGATTTCCAACTGCCAGAGGGAATTTGTTAACGTGCCAACAATACACACAGGCGTCCGATCTTACTACCCAGAGACCAGGCGAAATTACTAGAAGTCTAAGTGAAAAAAAAAATCTCTGGCTCCACTGGGACCTTGTTTCTTTTCCGAATGTGTCCAAAATAGCAACATCATCTTTGTCTAACGAATGTTGTTACCAGTGATTACCTAGTTATTTCTCCACCTCTCTTGAAATCATCCCATCTTCTGTTGAACCTTTTCCTCAGGTATTTAATCTGTGGATTAACAATTGTTTATTTCATCTTTGCAGGGAAAAAAGCTTTTGGCTGAGAAGAAGAGGAGAGCCCGAATCAATAACTGCCTACTGCAGATCAGAAATATTGTATGCGAGGGAGCAGATGACAAGGTATGTTTCACTTTACCTCTTCTTTTTCTTGTTTGCAAAATAGTTTCATATACTTATATTTCCTCATGTTTCCAGCCAATCTGTCTGCCTGCTCCACTGGGTGGTGAATTAATACACGACAAGGTAGATGTGGTCAAGGCCCTTTGGGAACAAGCAACGGAATCAGTAGAGAAAGAAGATTATTATAGCCTGGAGAGAATGAGGCACCTGGGTGAAACCAGAGGGCCTGGCCGGCTCACTACACTCAGAGGAAAGGCAAGACGGACATATAACCAGATTGTGACCGGTACCATAAGTATTGGAACTCTGCGCTGGCTGCTGAAGATGGAGCATGCATGGGAAAGCCCCGAGTGCTGTGATGTCAGTTCTTGACTCAACTCAATTCATGTGGGTTCCAGAAGAGGCAAACACATAAAAGACCCATTGTCTTGCTAACAAGCAAACCGTAGGAGGCAAAGTTCCCTTTGAAGTCAGAGTGCATCTGCAGGAGAGACAAGGAAGACATATTACTGTTAATTATGGTCTTCGCGTTGGTTGGGAAAGGGGGGGGGAAGTTTAGAGGGTTTTTTGAGGGGAAAAAATGAAAGAAAAATATCCATTGCAAAACCCCCCCCCCTCCCAATAAACATGTCATAAAAGGCGACCAATTAGAGGGCGTTTCCTCTGAAGCTCACAGTGTTGTGCCATGCACTGCACTCAGTAGCTGGGTGACAGAACTAGATCTTTTCAGTCTACATATAAAAGGAAATGGAATGGTTAACTAACTCCCCAATAAGCATGTCGTTGGTGTCGACCAAGTGGAAGCATCCTTAATAGTCAAAGTACATCTGCCCGAGAGGTGAGGAAGCAATAATCTGCATTCAAATACGCCAGATCTGTAAAACGGATTCGCAGGCAACACCCAGGTTCTGAAATAGAGATGAACAAACATCCAGAACCTTCCTCTGGAATTTACAACAAGTGAATGCGAAGAAGAGAAGAATATAGCCAATGGCTCCAGAAGGTGTCTTACAAGACTGTCCTCTCCTGGAGCAGCTGCGAAGCAACATGTGGCCACACCCAGCAAACCTGACAACCAAACTTTAGGGAAACTCAAGAGACCTTGAGATGACATCCCAGTTTACGACCTACAGTAGATTATGTTTGACCAGAGATTTCTGAAGAAGAAGAAATGCCCAATGTGCCACAAGTGCCAACTTATTTAACAAACAAAACAAAAAAGCAGTTTAGCACCAAATGCTCAATTACTGACCTCATGTATCTTGCAAAGATAGCTGCTTTTAATTTATTTTAAAAAACTGACAGTGTGTTTGTTTTGATTTTTTTAGGACACAGATCTCGAAAAGATGGAGAAGGCGGAGATCTTAGAGAAAACGCTGGAGGTATTAACTCGACTACGGCACGATTACAGATCTCCGAGCAGCAGCAGTTCCTACTCAACACGGAAGGCTATGGCAGTGAGGTATGCCTCTGGATTTAGTTCCTGTGCAGAAGAGTCAATCAGATATATTCAAAATTCTCATCTGGTTCCTACCGAGGTCAAAGTTCAACTTCAGACCCACTTGCGAGCGATAGCACGGAGAATGGAGGCGGGTTTGCAAGATGAAAGTACAGAGGTTAATTATACCCAAAGTTACCCAACTTCACCGTCGTTATCATCCCCATCCTCCTCCATGATGTCTGGGCGACTGACAACGGTCGTAGAGTCAAGAGAAGAAATGTACAAAACAGACATTAGTAGAAGTCAAATATCGGAAATTGGAACCTACACTCCTTCACCGATCCACTTCTCGACTCCAATTTCTCAACCATACGTGCCAGTGTCTAGCACAGTTACCAGGCCAAATCAAGAAGAATTCGTTTCCCCAACACCACAGACATTTATGAAATCTGACTGTGGTCAGAAAGAATCCAAACAGGCACAGTATATTTCAAGAGAATTTTTTTCTCAAATACCACAGACATTTATGAAATCTGACTTTGGTCAGAAAGAATCCAAACAGGCACAGTATATTTCAAGAGAATTCATTTCTCCAACACCACAGACATTTATGAAATCTGATTTTGGTCCGAAAGAATCCAAACAGGCAGAGTATATTTCAAGAGAATTTATTTCTCAAACACCACAGACATTTAGGAAATCTGATTTTGGTCAGAAAGAATCCAAACAGGCACCGTATATTTCAAGTAACATTGTTAATTTCAAATCACACGACATTTGCCTCAATGAAGAAGTACATTCCTCGTACACAGTACCAACGTACGGCCATCCAGAAGTGTCATCCACAGGAAGTGAGACGGACAACCATTACAGCACCAATTTATTATCACCCAACTCATCCTACTCTTTTTCCAACCCATCCATGAATGAAACAGAACTCTCCGGAAATGCCCCAATAATTTTATACCCTGCCCCTGTTCTCCAAAGTACATCCCTCCTCTCCGACCAACCAGTTTTCAGTTACGTCTACGAGTCGTATCCATCTTGTAGCATGCCTAGTATTCTAGTTCAGCCCGTGACGTACATGTCGACTCCGGTACGGCAAACAACTGACGCACACAAGCAGCCGAGCACGCCCAACAATGCTCTCGATCTTTGTGTCAAGAGAAGCCAGGTACACCAGATTTCTCCAGAGACAATGTGGCGGCCCTGGTAGCGCACACAACATGTCATAAATCGAGAGTCTGACAATTGACCTATGTCAGTTATTGCTTGCAGAAACTCAAGACCCAACTTGACAATACAAGCTGGCGCATACATTAAACTTTAACATATCAAAAGGTACCAAACACTATCTGTGACAACCCAGAGGAAAACCTTAGAGTTAATTGCATAAGTTTCACTTTAAAAACTAATCATCATGTAGCAGGTCCTTTGCCGAATGTTGCTCTCAACACAGTGTCTTCTTCTTCTTCTTCACTTCCTCTTTTACCGCTGTGGGTGTCGAGGGAGATATAAGATTCTGTTTCTAGCTCTTCTGGCCGCCTCGACCATCTTCTTCTTCTTCACTTCCTCTTTTACCGCTGTGGGTGTCGAGGGAGATATAAGGTTCTGTTTCTAGCTCTTCTGGCCGCCTCGACCGTAGGCACCTCATGCTGTTGTAGAGTTTCTCTGACGTTATCCTTCCATCTTGTTCTTGGTCTACCTCGTGCTCTACGTCCTTCTTCTCTTTCCATGTATGCTTTGTATGGTATGGTGTCACAAGGCATTCACTCTAAGTGGGCTCAACACGGTGTGCCTGAAAGAATCTTGGTCTCTCGCCAGCTCTCCTGCATCATGAAATTTCATATTCAAGGATTCACTTACATCCTATGCCCATCTTTATGCTGGTCAGCCCCTGATCCTCTTTCTTGGTACCATGCCTTCTGCTATTGTTGTTTTCCAATTAAACAATAAACAGACAAGTCAAATGATAGATACATTTGCAGGAATAGCAGTAAACATAAGCCTTTCTGAGGCAACCAGAGAATTGATTAAATAACTACTGACACTAGTGTTACTACTGCTACTACCACCACCATCATTACTACTTTTGCTACTGCTACTACCACCACTATTATTGCTACTACTTTTGCTACTGCTACTACCACCACTATTGTTGCTACTACTTTTGCTACTGCTACTACCACCACTATTGTTGCTACTACTTTTGCTACTGCTACTACCACCACTATTGTTGCTACTACTTTTGCTACTGCTACTACCACCACTATTGTTGCTACTACTTTTGCTACTGCTACTACCACCACTATTGTTGCTACTACTACTTCCACCACCATCACTACTTTTGCTACTACTGTTGCTACTGCTACTACCACCACTATTGTTGCTACTACTACTTCCACCACCATCACTACTTTTGCTACTACTGTTGCTACTGCTACTACCACTACTATTGTTGCTACTACTACTTCCACCACCATCACTACTTTTGCTACTACTACTACTGTTGTTACTGCTACTACAACCACTATTGTTGTTACTACTACTACCACCATCACTACTTATGCTACCACTAGTACTACCACCACTATTATTGCTGTTACTACTATTGCTGCTGCTAGTACAACTATTACAAGTATCTTACATGACCAAAAATCAACATACCCCACACAAGAACACAGTGCTCTTATTCGGTGACATTTTTTTCTTAGACTGCATGGTTGACTCTGAGCAATGGTTGTTTCGATATTTTTGTTGTAGACTGTACTTTATAAGAGATATAATTTGTAGGAAGAGTTGAGCATTGTTGATTGGGGGAAAGGGGTAGGAAGAGCTTGACTACAGTCAAGCATGTAGACTGATGGGCAAACAAATAGAATAAAAATTGATGGATGAATGAATGCTAAACAGACATAAGGACGGATGTATGCTTGCTAAGCAGACGGACTCATGGATGTGTGGATGGACATAAAGATATATCATGTTGAACAAGCTCAGTGAAGCAACTCTGTGATACCTGTAAATACATGCCAATGTAATCTATATAATGTTGATAAATAAATCATTCCAAAGTTGATCATATCAGTTTTGTTGTTTCTGTTAAATTTATACTTGCTCTTCAGATCCCTTATTAGACACCTCAATTTCCTGTCAAGTCGCATTACATCGGTTAGAGAGGCAAGGAAAAACATAGTGCATTAAAAAAATCTAGTAAAACGGACGTACACGTACAACTCAGGTTATGGCGGAGAGCCAAAGTCCTAATGGACGAATGAGCAGGACTTTCTGCCAGAGTTCGCAGTCGGAGAATGCTTACAAGCAGACAGACCGACACCTGAACTATCTCACCAATGATAATATAAAAACCATGAAACTTTTCAGCACTTTAGATGAGGGGAAAAAAAAGCACCATATACAACTAGCATTTCATTTTGAATCTACCATTGTGGGGGTTCTGGGGTCCTTTTGGGTTAGGGGTGAACCCACTGTCCTCTAACAAAAATCTTTTAGTACAAGAGAATTTAACAGGACAGGGCAAAGTGGCGACATAACTTTGAGTTGCTGGCCACATATGGGCTGGTGACTATGGGAAAGCCAGGTTTCTCTGGTATGTTCTAACCAAATGTTAAAATTAAGATAACACATTATGCTATGGAGGGGACACAATGGGTAGAGCCATTCACACATCAATGACAGCTTGGGGCTGCAACAGTTACCAAGCATGACATAGGAGGCAACTAGTGAGGAGTGTTACCTCTGAAGCTGAATTGCCTCTGCCTGAGAGGTGGGGACCAACACTTTGCAAACAAACCAGAACTGTAAACAGATTTGCATATTCAAGTTCTGGGACAAAACTTTCTGCCAGAGTTTATAGTTAAATGTTGAATTAATAATCAATATCACAGCACTCAGTACACTCCCATAAGCAATCTGTCCTCACCTTCAAAGAGTTCCAATTCGGATGGCACCAGTAACTGATTGTGTATCAGTTTTTGCCTTTCCCTTAAGTGTTGAACATTGGCTGGATTCCCTGGTAACTCCTCGCAGCGCCATTCTCCTTAGACGGTAATGTTCTATCTGTGCCTTCACACTGTTCACTTGCTCCCAAAGGGCCCTCACAACATCTAGCTATTCATACATCAGTTCACCACCAAGTGATACAGAACCAGCCAATCTGTCTGCCTGCTAATTTCCCCACACACCGGCAAAACCTGGAGAAAATATCCAAAGGATTCTACTACCTGAGACCTCTGAAGTGATGCTTGCCACTCTGCACGAAGCATGCCTGTTTTCAACATGCGCAGTGAGTCAGTTAAATCACGGCATGTGTGTACAGCTGATACTCAAGCCAGCGGAAGGCAGCAGAGACTGCCTCCACCTCCATTCTCAAACTAGACATGATATCACATGCCTGGCTTTGTTGCACTAAGCGACGTTTTTACTATGAACCCCCATGCACTTTGTCTGCTCCTCAACACAGAGCCATCTGTAAAGATGGACAATCACATCACCTGGGCGTGACTTGTCAAGAATCATTTGTTGAACCTCAGATTCTGCTGGGGATTGCAAGGAAAAAAAAAGAAGCCTGTGTTCAAGAGGTGAACCCCCCACTTGCGGTGGTTCCCCAGGACCAGGGCTCATGGTGGTCAACACCTGCCTTCACTTCTACAGGCACATCCCAGGAACAGGGTTTCCCATTGGGGGCCTGGACAAATATTTCTGTGAAAATCTGAGTGCGTCAGCCTGAGGGGGGATAAAACAGACCAGTAAAATAAATGTACATGCAACACTCAGGTTCAGAAATAAGATTAAAGTCTAGAAGTGGGCAGACAACTAGCACTGGTTAACACAGCAGAAGCAGTGACAAGGCGTGCATGTAACAACTGTATTCACCGCTTACTTACCACGGTGAAAACACATGCATTATTTTACTATTTATTATTACTGTTTACTATTGATTACAAACATGCCAGTCGGTTTACAATTTAAAAAATAACAAAAAGAACGGCTGTTGCATGTTTATGCCACTAATACACAAAATATAAAAGCTACCAGTTATTATTACTTTATGCTAGTTCTACATGCATACTCAGTCAACAGTAAAGCAGCAAGTAGGAAAATATCACATGATACCCTTTCCTGTGTAAGCGTTGCCTGCTATACTTACACATATGAATTATCTTGCCACATCATTAAGCAGAAGAAGAAGAGGCTGGAGGAGGAGGAGAAGTAGAAGAAGATGGTGATGACAACCAATCAGCATGATCGGAGGGTTGTGGGAGTAGCATGACCATACCAGTGCTAAGAACTGGGAGTAAAGATCACCACAGCCAGGCATAAGAGGCCCACCGAAGTCACGTCACCCAGCACAGGACTGGCACCATACACTTGGATGCTGATGTAGATGCTGAACAGGGGAATCTGAGCACCTATGGATGTGTCTGGATTATCATGAAGACAACCCCAACTCAATTATGGGAGTCACCGTGGTGCAGTGACTAGATGCTTGCCTGCGGGTCAGAATGTCACGGGTTTTGGGTCCCGACGGAGTCAGACCTAAAAAAAATGATCTTGGCTCCCAGCTTTGAGTGCGTACCAGGTGTAGTCCTGGGAAGTAAAGGTGGCTGACGTGACGCTGACCACATCACCCGCCAAGTGCCGACTAATCTATCAAATATAGATCTAGCCCTAAATGCCCAGTATGCCTGGGTAGATTTCTAACTCCACATTTTGCCCGGGCAGCGCCGTTAGGCTACTCTTTTCGATTTCCAATTGCTAAGGGATTTTTTAAACTTGCGCAACAATGCACACAGGAGTCCGATCTCCCTACCCAGAGACCAGGGGGAATCACTAGAAGTCTAAGTACACGTGAAAGAAATCCCAGCCCTTACTGGGGATTGAACCCTGAACCTCTAGCACTAAAGACGGACACCATGCCTCGAGTCCACGCAACGCCCCAGTAAGCTATAATTCTGGTGGGAGACTAATAGTGTAGGCACATCTGACAGCTGTCTTGTGCATTTACTTTGTGTGCATGAGCTCCAGGATTTTGCTGAGACTGATGTTTTTCACTAGTTTTTAAAATGAGACAGTAAAACACATTTCGAGTGATTTCCACTGGCACAGTAAGCAAACGACCCTTTTCCACGCCTTTAGGCGTATAGGGCTAGACCTATATTTTATTGACCAATCGGCACAAGGTGGGTGATGTGG